TAATTATATTTTAGATTTTTTATATTTAAAATAAGATGTTTATCTTGTATTTGATTATGTTTATCTGTAATTAGTTACACGAATTCAGATATGGAGCTTTAATAAGTTGTACTTACGCACAATCTACTTGTAATCTTGAGTTTTAAGTAGTATGCATTAATAAACAGTGCTTTACGCATAAAAAGTAGTTTTTTAGAGTTTTTATCAAATGCTTTATAATATAGTATAAATATATATTTATAGCAGCCACTTAAATTAAAATTGATTAACATTGTTTAAGTTCAAATGTGGTACTTATGATATACACTTTAAAACATTTGAATCCCCGAAATTTATACACGTACATACACATTTATGCATGTGTATTTATGACGAAAGTAATGTTTAAGACTAAGGGGCTGTTTGGTAATTACTGAATGGTTTGGTGCAGAATGAATAAGACGCTCTCATGATATAGTTCAAAATAAAATATAATTGTTTGGTAATTATGTGCAATGAAATAAGGGCTCTTAGTGGTTAAGGAAGATCCAGAATACAAAATCATTAAGAGAGTTTTAGAACCATTAAGAGACATACTTTTTTTTTGTCGAACAAGATCCACCTCTTAACAATTCAGATGTTGTCTCTTAATGGAACTATTAAGAGGTAAACAAACAACCTCTAACATTTTGTTAGTTAAGAGCAAAAAAATTAAATGCTAACACTTATGATTATTATATAATGAGATGTTTTATATTGATTGTGTTATTGAACCAGCGTCAATTGGGTGTAGAACGAGATAAGGATTATTTTTGCTAAATCAAGAAAGATCAATAATGGATACATGTAAATGGCAAAGGAATTGGACCAAAACAGCACTCGATCGAGCAAGTCCTCAACTAACATGCAAAAACATCACCAATGTAAGTACTACTTTGTGACCTTAATACGTATAGCCTTTGACGACTCATTCCTTTCTTTGCGTCCTTGTTCTCACCATAAGCGGAGTTGGATTGGTAAATGACCAAAATACCCTTGTTTGAAAATTTTGAAACCAAAATCCAACTGCTATGGTCCATTCGGTGGTGGTTTAAATCAATGGTGCTTTAGATCGATGGTTTAAATCGGTGATAGTCGAAAGTGGTTCAGAACGGTGGTGGTCGACGGTGTTAAGATCGGTGGTGGACGACTGTAGTTCAAATCAGCGGTGTTTCAAAATGGCACCAGTTCAAAAAGGCGATGATTCAGAACTACAGTGGTCGTCGGTGGTTCAAAACGACAGTGGTTCAAATCAAATACGGAAGATGGGGGTAATTTTGTCTTTTGAGAAAATCGGATGGAATGGAACTAAATTTCTTCACAATAATGATGGAATTACCAAATCCATAAATGATGGAATGTGTGGAATTCAATTCCATTTCATAGGTAAACCAAACACCTAAACAAAATTTGGTAAATGGAGATGATCATTCAAATTCATTTGTATTCCGTCGAATCATACGAACCAAACACCCCCTTAGAGTTGAACGTACTTTAATTTAAAATTTTAACTTTTCGTTCTTTATTTTAAAGAAATTATATAGAATCCGTTACAGATACATTAAAACCAAAGTTCATCCATATAGACCGATAAATTTTTCCACATGCTTCAAAAACCAAGACCTGAATATCCAAGAGCCAAAGACTAACCGCAATAAAATTAAACAAGAAAATCTTGATACATTTATACTATATTAAAAGTATTTGACAAAAACTTTTAAAAATCATTTTTTATGCATAAATTATTGTTTATTGATGCATATTACTTAAAATTCAAGATTACAAGTTGATTGTACGTAAATACAACTTATTAAAGCATCATGTTTAAATTTGTATAACTAACTCCAGATAAACGTAATTAAATACCGGATGAACATCTCTAAATATAAAAAATCTAACATATAATTAAGAATTATCACTGAGTTCTAACAAAGTACTTAATTTATATTTTTATAAAAAATTATATTATTACATAAAAAATAAATTAATTCGTTATTAGACTTAAATCAAATTACAATAAAAGATTAAATTAAAGAAATTATTAAAAAATAAGAAATTTTAAATAATTAATTTGATACTAATATGAATTTTTTTTTTAAATTTTATGATATCATCAAATTTATATTTTATTCAAAAATAAAAAAGTATTACTTTCTCAAAACCACGTAAATTCATATTATAACATCGATATATGCAGAATAAAAATGAAACATTAAAATCAAAGATGTATTTCGTTGTATATTATGCAAATACCCTTCTAGTGGTTTCTAAAAAATTTATCAATTTCGACTTAAACTTATTTCAACATGTTATCAAACCATTGCTTTGATCAACATTTTTTGGGATTTTTTAGGTGAATGTGCATAATCAATGCTTATTACAAACATATCTTCTTAAGAAGGTTTATCTAGATCATAGGGACCAATCGCACCAATAGCTTTTTGTTGCCCGAGGGTGCATTTGGTACGTAACACATCGTACTGCACAACAACTAAAACTTGTTGTCCACCGTATGGTACAACATCTATACAGAGACAAGATTAAAGGACCATTCTTTTTACCAAAAGCTTACTGGGTAAGCGCTTACCGGCAAGTCATCATCCTTACTTATCTTGTTGGATAACATTCTCAACCATCAAAAATAGATTGTTGTAAGCGTCTTTTATTCAATAAGCACTTGCCACATAAGAAGAGTCTTCTCCCTCGCTTACCAAGTAAGATTCTTGGTCATTGTCATGCTTACCGATAAGGTAGATGGCACTCGGTAAGCGTTTACCAGTAAGAGTTCGGTAAAGGGTCCCTAAGTAAGACAAAAACGCATTTTTTGTCCCACCAAAATAGGTGGAACAAAAATCAAATAAATTAAACAAGATTGATAAATTACTAACTACTTCTATCAAATTAAAATCCTAAAATCTTTCACGATTTTTTCACCCATCAAATCATGTCATGTCCAGTTATAATCAGTCTAGTATGCATATCCAACGCACTCTAATACCCATCCATTCCTTGGTTTTGTCTTCGATGATTCATATGGTTTTTGGTCTGCTACCCTACTTCCATATGAACACATTTTCGAGATACCAATCGGTTGTTTAGGTGGGTTCCGATGAGGATGAAAGTTATGGTGAGAAGGGTAAGAAAAGATCTTCACCTTTGGATCAATCCTAATTGAAGAGTTCTCATAGATCTCAGAAGCATCAGATCAATTTCCTTATGAAGCGCAATTCATGGGTTGGTTTGAGATTAAAAGTGATCAGGGTCCAAATCCCTCTTTACACTTCTCACTTTTAACTCTTATTCTAACACGATCTTTCGTCTCGGTTGTTTAGGAGCCAATTATTCCATCTTCATCCAAATTTCTAACTTACAATTCAGCAGTGCCACACCAAAAATTTATTTTTCGTGAAGTGCCGAATAATTTGGCAGGAGTAAAATTTCAACAGTTAAACTTCATAGTTAAAATGAAACAACACAACCCATTCTGTTTGTGACTACCTAACAACTTTAAATTATACACCAGGGCCAAGCCACTTGGCTTTGAAGAGAGACTAACCCAATAGCTCACATGGTTCACTAGAATGGTTATAGAACAACACAGTGCACTCAGATGGTAGAAGACTTACTCGCCGATTGGTTTCCTCTTTCTACCAAGAACAGAAGCTTTTTGAAATCTTGGTCCACCCATTCGCCAAGTCTTAAATGCTGCAGTTGACGACTTAGCAGCATCGTACACTTCAAAATCAAGAACAAATGTATAAGATTCTTGTCAACAGTATTTGGAAAATGGAAGGCAAAACTAAATGGGTTCTTCAGATCTCACATTTTGTTTCTTCTTTTGTTAATAGCGACAAGAATTTGGGGGTCAGAGCAGATGCTGCAGTATGTGCCTTAATCAGGACTTCCTTGTACCTTGTCTGGAAAGCAACCAAGAGTAGAGATCCAATGGTTTTGTCACCAATCCTAATCCATTCAATGAACAAGATCATAAAACAGAATCTTGCAGGAACCGTAGTGTGAAATCTATTAAATCAAATACTTAAACTTTGTTTTACAAGCAGCTAGCACTTTTGAAGCTCAAAAAAGACAATACTTATCATCAACATGACTATAAGAAAAATAAAAAACAATATGAAGTGATTTTGGCTCAAAAATACTAATCGAGTCTCTACAATCATTAAGTTGTGAATTTGGTCAATCGTATCATGAAATATCACCCCTATAGGATTCACCATCAAGGAAATTGGCATGCAATATGTGCCCATTAGTAAATTGTAATGCATGTATTGATGTTAAAACATAACTGCAAGCAAATGTAAATAATGTGGAATGATACTCACAATTGCACTATCTTGCACCCTAACTCATAAAAATATGAGCATCGAGTTCTTAAGTCAACGTGTGCACCATCAGCCCCTATTTCTTCCCGTGTTCTGTATGAAACAAAATACATGATGCTGAAGGGGAATAACATTAATATTGTTCACATAGACCACAAAGTAGAGTAAATAAATCCATACTTGAGTGTGGTCAACAGTCAATGACCATACAACTTCAATGAGCAATTACTATATACTGACAAATCAGAAATAAAAAAAATACACTCATATAAGTCTAAACCCTGGTTGGGTTAAGTGGATGTCTTACACAAAGGAACACAGGTTACATAACTTCATGCATTTATCAAGATTATGTTTCTCTTGCTTACTTCTGAAAGGTCATATACAAGAATCATGAAGGCTAACCAAAAACTAACCAGGAAATCGGAGCTTACTTTTTATTGAAACATGGAGGGATGCTGACCGATGCTGCCTGTCTCAGGTGTAGTTCTCGAGCAAGCCAGAATGGCAATTCTACCTTCGACCTAGGTTCTACCTGATTTTACAAAATAGTACCATTATAAAAATAAATATGAATGTATTCAGTTGAAGTTTAATTTAAATTTACCCTGTTCGTGTCATTTGATTCAAACAAACCAACTCCATTTATTGCCTCCAAGAATACTGCTGGAACAAGCTATGAAAAATAGGCAGCATGTTAGACATACAAACAATTTTTTTAAATGACATGAATGCATAATTGGAGAAAAGAGATAAGTTTCAACCTCCTCATCTGCTAGAATATCATCAATATCATAATATTGTGCCATGACCAAAGCAAGAGCCTGCTGCTATCTTATGTTCAACCACCACAATGCACTAATTTAATTCAAATAGGGTATCAAGTACCAGATCAAACTGCACCAATAACAGCTTAAAAAACTCAATCACACATGCTAATAGGAATAGAAAAAGTGGTCCATTGACCAACAATGGTATAATTTGGGCTTCATTAAAACATTACTCCATAACACCACAACATGAACCATATTCTTCTCAAGTGGTAGCTAAAGAGGGTGTATTTGGTAGTCACAGACTATGACCTGTTTCTTTATCAAAAAAAAAAATGATCTGCTTAAAGGTATTGTGACATTGAAGTAGAGATGCCTCTTCACCATGTATGGTAAAAGAATGAATAGCAATGTGTGATATGCAATTCTTACAAGGTCAATCTGCTTTATTTTATTGGAAGAGAACATTGTGGTTATCATTCAGAAACCCACAAAAAAAATTGAAGTTTGAAATTCAACTAAAGGCACCTAATTACCTACTTATATCAAATAAACCAAACCAAACAAACCCAATATACCCGGAGGTGGGGTCTGCCAGGGGGGAGGGAATGTACATCTTTAATTTGGATTCATTAAATTCGTGAGGAGTTGGATGAGAAGAAACTCTCATGTCCGATTCTGTAGTAGAGATGGAATTCACCTCTACCGTGGATGTTTATGTGAAAACCCCTGCTTGTTCAAAGTGTATGAAAAGAAAGGATATAACTTGCTCAAAGAAATTGCTGAGAAATAACATAAGAACTTGAAAATAAGAAAGGCAGTGCTAAAACGTGAAACATGTTAGGAGTAAGCAACAACAACACAAACAGACACGCAAACAGTAACAAACAAAATTTACAAATCAGTCTACCTCGAATAAATCAATAGAAATGGTTTGAACCTTTAATGATTTAAACTTAAAATGGAAAGGACAGCAATATCACGTTCCATACAAGGTAATACTTCAACCAGTCCACTGGAGCCCTTAAGTAAACCTTCTTCTGCAGAAGGATCTTCAATATTAGGGTCTTTGTTTTTTAAGCTGAATATAGACTTTGGTTCCAAATGAGCGTTTTGAGTCAAGGTTTCACTCTATCAGTGTGTTAACTCCATGCCTTCTCATTTTAGCAAAAGATCTTATACATCCAAGCTCTTCAAGAAAGTCAAGTTCCAGAAACACAAGTAGTCACACAAATTCGAGGTGCTCTTCTTAAATGTTAACAACCTTAAAAGGTGTCAAGAACCTTAGAACCCTAAATCAGTAAAAAATAAATATTTCCAACATCTAATTCTGTGTGTAGTTTAATCGTTGACCAGCATAAAATCTTCAGATCAAATGCACCAACAGTAAATCAGTCAAAATTGAAACAGGATCATGCAAGTATACCCAAAATTAACAATGTAATGGTCCAAAAATAGCAAGCATTATACCCAATTAAAAACCTTGACTTAATTCAAAATCTAGCAAGTGAATTTGAACATGTTGAAATCAAAACCCTATTTTGCAGACTGAATATTCTTAGTAAATTCGATCGACATTGCACCAAAACTTCACACAAACAACACTCAAACATCCCATTTTTCAGAAATCAACTAACTTGCAAGGAAATCGTTGGGCGTGAGGCGGCCTGAGGTAGTGACTTCGTTCGTGAGGATACACTGCGCGCGGACGTCAGAGAGGGCAGTAGTTCGATTTGGGCTGTAAACATCAAGGAAACAAACCCTAACCCTAATAAGTCAAAAAAAAATCAAAGAAAAAAAAACCAAGATTGTGTTGTCTGAAGAATTATATCATACCCAACCCAATAAAGAACGAAAACAAACTCTAACCCTAAATTATAATTCAATTGAGCGACAAATTCATGAAAATCATACCTTGACAACTATTTCCAAGTTTGGGGAAGCAGATAAGAACTGTCTCCTGATTTGCTCGCGAACAGCAGAGGGAGAATTTCGATTTGGAGATGGAGTGATGTTCGGTTCGCGGGTATTTCTTGAAGAAACAAATCAACTCATTTTTGCCCGCCAATTCTTCCGACTAACGATTTTTGGTCCATGTTACAAAATTTAGGTTTTCATCCCTCTCGTTTGCAATTTCTTTTGCTTTTGGTTTTCTTTATGGACACCGTTAAATTTTTGTTAAATGATTTTCCCGTGAGGGGGTATTTTAGTAATTTATGTTGATTGCTACAACCAATTATCGCAAGTAGGGGTGTCAATGGATCAGTTTGGGTTGGGTTCACGTTCAACTCATTTATTAAACATGTTGAAAATCTCAACCCTATTAAATGGGTTGAGATTTTTCAATCCAACTCAACTTGTTACCTAAATGAGTTGACATGTTTACGATTTTCTTAACCTAACATGTTAAATAAATGGTTGAACCTGAGTTGACCCATTTAATTTTAAAATTTTAAATAAATACAAAAACTAGACTATTTAATTTTTTTTTAATAAACCACAACACAACTACAAATACAAACAAATTGTTCAAAGTTTGAATAAAACACAACCACAACAAATATATTGTTCAAAATAAATTGATTTTTTTTAAATTTTAAGTGACTCGACTTCCATTTTCACCGATCTCAAAGTTTGGAGGCTATAATGGAGTAATGGACTAAAGGATTTTCTTAGGGTTTCATGATGATTAAAAGTAATGGAGGCGATTGGAATTTGAAACTTTCATCTCACAAAGGTAGGATTTTTAATTAAGAATAAAACAAAATAAAAATTTAGAATATTATATATAATATTGAGAATAAAATAAAATAATATTTTAAATGAGTTGGAAACAAGTTGAAAACAGGTTGTAAACGAGTTGAAAGTAGGTCAAAAATTCAAGCCAATCCAAATCATTTATTTAAATGGGTTAGACGAGTTGACTCATTCATTTAAATGGGTTAGAAATATCAACTCAACCTGCTAATTATGGGTTGAGTTGGGGTTGAGTTAGCGGGTTGGGTCATTTTTTGCAACCCCTAATCGCAAGGGTTGTCCACTTAATTGATTGTAATTTACGGGTCATGCTTATGAGTGTCTTGAAATATGATGGTACTTATAGGAACATACATGTTTCTTTTAGAAATACCTAAAAATATATGATAAAATGGTACAATTTTTATTTGCTAACACTGTAAATTTACTTTTAACTCCACATTTCCCTCCGGCCACCATCCTCAAGTCCATTGGTCGAACCATCACTATCTCATATTTAAACCACGGTTTATAAGGTTGATTCAAGTTCACACAAAGTCAAACAGAAATATCACATCCATTTAATACGCACACATTGTCTCTTGTCACACCGGTAGACTATTGAATAAAGGTTACCATCGGAAAACAAAAGGAAGCATATTCGAGACACTTAGGGACTTTCTTAACAAAAACGACGATATGATAAAACAACCGTATGGTTTAATTTGCAACACCATAACGAGTCCAATGGTCGGAATATAGGATAAGGTGTTGATGTTATTATATAAATATATAATATCATTAAAATTAAATTAAATTAAAAAATTGATAAGTAGCCAAAAATATCCGTCATTTTAACCGATAGTTTTAACAAAGTTAGGGTGCGTTTGGTCCGCATAATGAAATTAGGTGGATTTAATCCTAACCTAATAAAATAAGGGGGCATTTGGTTCGTAAAATGGAATTATATGGAATTGAAATTCATCAAATGAATTTGACTTTGAGGAAATGAAATGAAATTTGACCATGCCTTGTGATTGTGTTTGGTTGCATGGAATTGGAATGAAATTCTTAATGGATTGAATTTTTTTGTTTGGTTCACGGAATTCAACTTTGGAATCGAAATTAAATATCAACAAATGACCTTTTATGATTTTTGAATAACGATTGGACTAGCGATATCGATAGCTAGTTATCTTGAATCGATTCCTTGATTACATATGTTGTCTATCGATCTCGTATAGATGGAGAAATTACGAGAGAGAGAGAGTGTGTGTGTGTACCCGATGAAGATCGAACAAGATATCAATTAGATGATATGGTAGACACAACGTTGAATGAATTTGGATTAGGGAAGAAATTTGTAGGAAAAGAATTGAAATCCGAGGATATTGCCGTGGAATGTAAAATCTATGAGTGAAGGAATTTATTGGAATTGAAATGATTTCATTAGTTTTATTCCATGAACCAAACATTGTATTTGAAATTTGGTCAAAGGATCTGGTCATTCCAATTCCTTTCAATTTCATCTAAATCCTTGAACCAAACAGGCCCTAAGTGATAGTATTAATTTTTACTGTTAAATACTAATCAGATAAGTATTCGGATAAATCCCCATAAGTTTATCATAATATAAAACTATAAAAAAGGAAATTTAATTTTGATTGATTTTTAAATTTATAAAAAAGGAAAATTGATTAATATAAATGTCATCGTCAGCATTACTATGACGAATAGAATTAATTGTTGACCAATTAGTCTATATTTCATTTAAAATATTTTAATTAATTATAAAATGATTGGATATTAATTAAACCCTTCTACTCGTATCATTATCATTAGACCTTCCAAGAACATTCTTAGCTGATTTATAAAATATCTAGGGTTTGGTTCTATAGAGAAGAAAGTTATGGTGATGGGTAACAGGAGATTTTGGCCCTGTTTGATTTTTGGTATTTATAGTTTAATACATCTGAAGTCTGATTCGGTCAGACGTTTCGTATTTAATAGTGTTTTTTTTTGTTCAAATAAAAGCTTATCTTTATGTGTTTTCTCTGAAATATTAAGGGTTTGTTTGTTTTTTGAAAAAAAACCACTTAATGCCTCTTAAGCCTGAACCGGTTAGACGTTTTTATTTTCAGACCGTTTGTTTTTTTTTATATAAATAAGAGCTGAAAAACTCTTAATTTGCTCTGAAAAAAAATGATAATATAATCACTTAAATCCTCTTAATCGCTCCCTCCAGACTCTCCCCTCCATCCTCACCTCCAGATTTAGTCCTCCAAATCTATCTCGCAAGACATTCGATCTCCAAATCAATCACGACCCAGATCGATCCACATATTCTTGTAAAATCATGACCCAGATCAATCCAAATCTATCAGATCCAAAACTTGACTGATTCAGATTTCAGATTTCAGACGTAAAATCAAACAGTCTGACTGATTCAGATTTCAGACTTCAGAACCTCTTAAAAAACAAACGCTACCTAAATGGTAATATTTTCACTTAATACCTCTTAAACACGCCTTTCCACTTCTAAATCATATTAATTGAATATTAAATTAATAAGATGTATCGAATCAATTCATTATTAACACACATAATTCATGGATGAACATGAGATTAAAAGTAATTAAGAGTCTAAACCCCTGTTACGCTTCTCACACAAATTTTTTTTCTCACCTGATTCTTTGTGTTGGGTTTCACTGGTAATAGAAGTTATAGTGAGAATCTGAAAACAAAACATTTTTATATATTCAACTACTTTTATTTACCTATGTTTGTTTGTCATTATGACCAAAATTCTAACAAATTTATGCACGTGGACATGATTAAATGTATGTAAAAGTAAACAAGACAAATAGATGAATATAATTGAATGTAACTGAACATATGAAAGTACTTTTAAAATTTTAAGTTAAATTAAAAAGTCCACTCGTTCAAATACGCATAAATATTTTCATTATAACTCTAATTCCCATACACACACATGCATGCAGGATCATGTGAGACCAACTTGTTTTCGTGAAATTCATGAGACCATCTTTTTACATTTGAAACTTTACAGCAAAACGCTATGAAGGTAACTTTCACAGTGTTTTTGTTACGAAGGTTCAACTTTTTTTATATTTATAATTTGAATATATATATATATATATATATATATATATATATATATATATAGGGAAGATCAAATGTTAACCAACAATTTTGTGTTAACTTTGAAAACCATGGCAACCAATCAAATTTCATTATTCTTGTAGGTTTATGTCATATTCATATTTTAATTACAAGGGTATTTCAGTAAATTGATTTGATATGTAACTCCCAAACAATTAATGGGGAGTTACAAATCATCAAATCCGAAAATATGCATTTATAATATTAATATTTTTATTTTTTTTAATTTGATCTTGCATGTTCATTTTTTATCAGTTTTTAATTCGCATAGAAAACAAGGTAGTAAAATATTTCGGTATCGATCAAGCTAATATGGATAAACGCTATGAAAAATAAATCGACAACAGTGAGAAGATTAAAATGGTTTATGATGACAATTGGAGTTCGAGGTCGGGAATTGAAGAAATTAACCAAAGCGAATGTCTTGGTAATAGATTTTTATTTTTTGTAGATTCGTTTTAATCAAAATTATGTTCATTACGATGTGTTGTGTTTTTTTATAATTCATCTTGTATTGATAGCTTTTTTTCTTTAATTATTAAAATACGTACCTAATTCACATGTTCAAATGGAAGTACATGCACGACCCATTTTCATATTGTCATATTACCGACTTTTATGAATCATGAACCATTGTGTTCATGTTACTTCTATCATATGAGCACAAGTATTATTTTTTAAGCTTGATACCAAATCTTTATATTTGTGTAAGTGTTTACACCCGGTGTTCATAGCATTGGGGTTATGTGTTCATATATTTTATACGATATGAACAAGGGGTGAACACGATATGAACAAGGGTGAACAACCATATAAAATCATAAACATATATGAACAAGGGTGAACCTTAAACGGTGTGGATGTAATGCATGTATAAAACTCCAATTGACAAAAGATCGCTCATGAATGTGTTTATAATAAATGAACTATTGTTCAGAAGCTGTTCATATCGTGTTCATACCTTTTTTTTATTTAATTTATTTCTTTTCGTATAGCAGTTATTCTTATCATGTTCATATTGTGTTCATAAATGTGTTTATAATAAATGAACTCCAATTGACAAAAGATCGCTCATGAATATGTTTATAATAAATGAACTATTGTTCAGAAGCTGTTCATATCGTGTTCATAC